AGCTAATTGTGATGGTAACACGACACTTGTGTGTATATTTTTGAACCATACAAAAGAGAAGCCAAATTCTCCGTATTCACAACATCATAAATGAGATATCCAGTTTAAGTTTTATGAGACAACAGGAAATAATATATTATAAAAGTTCTTTAGAATACAACCCTAAGTTAGATCATATTACAGAACCGTACCAGAAAAAATATTAAATGTAAAAATGCATACTTTCCCTAACAATAGATATACATAAAAAGTCATTACTTAAAAATGTCCCTTGTTCTTCTTTCTGTAGTTCTCTTTTTACATATTTCTTCTGTGTTTTGTTTCGTTCTTCTATAATCCGTTTACATATTTCATTTTGCCATTCTATCCTTTCAATTTTCTTTTTTTATTTATGGTTTTTGTTGCTGGATTTAAAATTTTTGTCTTAAGTCCTTTCGAATATTCTCTATTTCCAGATTATCTGCTTTTATAAGTGTTTGAATTACTTCTATCTTGTTTTTATTAGGCTTTCTTACCACGGTCTGTCGATGTCTAGTTCTTTCTTGACTTAAGTTAATGATCACTCGAAGAGTGGCGGGTTTTTCGGTCAGAAGTTGGAGAAAAAAAAACAACGATGATGGCTCCTTCATCTATTTATTGAAAACGTTTCGCTATCCAATTTGATAGCATCATCAGTTCATCTAAAAAGTACAATATGAAAAACCTAACATCCAATGGAAAGTTATTAAGTGTTTTACTTCAAAAAGATATGTAGCAGTCAATGATATAAAAAAATTGTAAAGAAGCTTACGAGAATGGACATTGTAAAATTATGTTGTATAAACAATAAATTGAACTAAATATAGTTAACAATTTTCATAAACACAGCAAAAGATATGCGGTACTTATACAAGTATATAAAATTTTTATGCAAAAATTTTTTGTAATTAAAAACAATATGTAGAAAAACTAAGAGATCAAAGATGCACTTCCAACAGTAAATGCATAATTTAGATTTTATTTTGACTTTAAAACCTTAAGTGGCTATTCAGATCATATTGTGATCTATACAGATGGGTCAAAATCACCAACACGTACAACCAGTGCTTACTTTGTACCAAAAATGAATATTAAAAAATAATTTATTTTAAATAATCCAGCATTTTTTCTGCTGAAGCATGTGCTATATACAAAGCCCTTGAACTGTGCTGTGAAAATCAGTGGAAAAAATTGTCATATGCTGTGATTCACAGTGTTTTTAATTACACTCAGTGTAATTAAAAACACTGTGTGTCACAGCATTAACAACACACAGAGTGTCAGTATTACACTCCTTACAAAACTTTAAATTCACAATCAATAGCAATTAATTCATATTAGAAATTTTTCAACAGTTACTAAAACTATCAGATCCATATGGTACTAAATTTCTATGGGTTAAAGGACACTCAGATATTGTTGGCAATACTATTGCTGATTCTATAGCTAAAAATCCATTACAGCACCCACATATGGCGATAGAAGAATTTAACACTTGTGACTATATGTGACCACATGTGACCACTTGCCTATATCAAACAACATATTAAATTTAAATGGGACAGACAATGGATTCAGTTTGGTGGAAGCAGGGGCACTAATTTATACAAATTACAACCCCCAGTAGATGGAAAACAATTTTACAAAGTTGTTACACTAAGCAGAAATACAGTGTCAACTGTTTTAGGAATAAAAGTAGATCATGGATGTTTTCCGAAATATCTACACAAAATAGGAGTTCTCCCAACAGACCGATGTGAGTGTGGAACTAGTATAGCTGATTTAAATCACATATTCTTCAACTGCCCACTACATCGTAATACAATCATGTGGCTGATAAAAGAATTGATAAAAGAGGGATTAAATACGCCATTAAACGTAAATCTTCTATTAAGTGAAGACAATATAAAAATCTTTAAAATAATTATGATATTTCTTGTAAAAATCAAATTAAAGGTATGAGTGTAAAATTGATCGTATGCTTGAACATTTCCTTTGTATGTTTACCATATACGTTGCCCACCTACCTAACCGTGGTTTATGTCTTGTTTGTTACAATAAAGCCGCTCTGATGAATCCCTGAGCGTGGAAAGTGTCCTCCATGTATAATCCTGTATGAATGAATACTAATATTTATATGTAATTACGTGGCTAAAGGTTTCAAGCCAAAGCCAAAGCTAATATATATATATATATATATATATATATATATATATATATATATATATATATATATAATATATATATATATATAAAGGGATTCTACAGTATTCACTGCCTTCTCTCGCTCAACCGTTTCCATCTCTCTCTGTTGTCCCACTTCGTCGTCTACCTCGTTCCTCCGGGATCTTCGGGGTCATCCACTTTTCCTCCTTATTATGGGACTCCATTCGGTTATTCTCTTTATCCATCTGCTATCGCTAGTTCTTCTTACATGTCCATACCACTTTAGTCTTTTTTGTTTTTGTTTTGTTTTATATATGTTAGTATATTTGTTTCTATTGATGTTCTTTGCTTTATTTCGTCATTACATCTCCTCTCCATTCGCACTAATGCTTTATAAATCTGTATTTTTGTCTTTATATTTAGGTGTCTATCCAACCATACTGGGTTAAGTAATAGGATTGCTGTTTCTGTTTGTCCTAATCTTTGCTTAATTTCTTCCTCTGTTGTTGCCTTTTTCGTGGTTATAAACCCCAAATATTTGAATTTATCCTTTCCTTCAATTGTTACGTTGTCGTCACTCTGTAGATCTTCTATGTCTTCTTCACTTGTATATAGGTACTCTGTTTTCACGAAGTTATTATCTGGACCAGCCTTGGTATATTCTTCTTGTAGTTTCTTCATCATGTAACTAAGGTCTTATTGGTCTTGTGCAATAACCACTTGATCGTCTGCAAAGCGTAACGTATGTAGGTATTCGTATTCTACCTGTAGTCAAGGCTTTCTCTAAGTATATTTTGAATAGTATTAGAGATGTGGAACAACCCTGCAGGAGCCCTTTTGTTGTGGTGAAGTCTCCTATGATTCCTGTTCCCATTTTAATGGACACTTTATTTTTTTTATACAAAGCTTTTGTAGCTTCTATGAGTTCCGTCTGTATTTCTAATTTGTACAATGTCTTTCACAGTTCTGACCTTGGTACATAGTCGTACGCCTTTCTCAGGTCCACAAATGCCAAATTTATATCTATATTTTTTGCTTTTTTCTTTTCCAACAGTTGTTCCAGTGTGTATATGTGGTCTATGCATAATCTTTCTGCCGTGAAGCCTGACTGATCCTCCCCTATTTTGCCTTTTATCGCTTGCTCTATCTTTTCTCGCAGTATCTTCTCATATAATCTTTCTATTGATGATATTACGCTTACTCCTATGTAGTTTTCGGATCGTTTTCTTTTTCATTTATTAAATATAGATGTCATATATGCCTCCGTCCATTCCTTTGGGAGCTGTTCTCCATTTATGGCTTTCTGAAATATCAATTTTATCATCTGGTGTAATTTTTTTGAGCCGTACTTTATAAGCTCAGGTGAGATGCATCTAGGTCACGGTGCTTTTTTATTTTTGATTGCTTTTATGGTCTTTCTCATTTCCCTATCTGTTATTTCTATTTCTTGTTGCGTTTATTTGATTTCTATTAATTTTTGGTCTAGAAGTTGTTTGCATAATTCTCTTATTGATTGTTTTTGTAGTAGTTCTATATTTTCGCGTTTTTCTCTTATAGTGGTTAACGGTTCTTCTGTAGAGGGGTCTTGTTATCTTTTTAATTAATGCCCATTTTTGCTGTCGGTAGTTTATGGTCAGTTCTACATTCTGCTTCTCTTCTGACTCACACCTTTTATCTTTATCGTGGTATCTTGTTTCACTATTACATAGTCTATTATCGATTTCAGCTTTCGTGTTTTTTCCACGTATATTTATGAATATTTTTATATCTGAACAATCCGTTGGTGATTTTTAGGTTGTTTAGTTCGCATAATTCAATCAGATGTTCTCAGTTATTGTTTTGTTTATCCTCTCCAAATCTTCCCACTACTTATCGTTTTCTTTGCTTCCGGTTCTGCCGTTAAGGTTTCCTGTTATAATTATCTCCACGTTCTTTTTGATTAGCTCTGTTTGGTATTGAAGTTGTTCTGTGAAATTTTCTTTTACTACTCTCGGGGAATCGTCTGTTGGTGCATATACTCCGAGTATCACTGTCTTGTTACCGTATATGTCTATATGCATTTTAATTATCTTCTCGTTGATTTACTCCCATGTTCTAAACCTGTTCTTCCACTTATTGTTGATTAGTATTCCCACTCCTGTCTTTGCTTTACATTCCTTATTAATTCATTAATTCCGGTCCAGCAATGGATATGGTCTTCTATTGTTTGCGTTTAATTTCCTTTCTTTTTGGTTTCTATTTTTGTCTGTATGTCGATGTTGTTATCTAAAGTCGTTGATCACTTCTGTCCTCTTTTTGTGTCCCGTCCTTGTATATTCACTTTCGACATGAATGTTCTATCTTTTCGTTTTGGTTTTTAGTTGAGCTTTGTTATAAGACTGGGTCTTCCGAAATTCGCAGCACACCCCCCTCCTACGAGATTGTAGATTTCCACCCCCGGGGATGTGTTGTTTGTTTCGGTGTTTTGCTTTTTCATCTTGCGATTTGGGTTCTTCTTACCTTTATGTTTCTATGTGTGTTAGGTTGTTAATTCCTAACGCCACAATCACCGTTTGGAGGACCTTTGATCACACAACCTAGGTACTTAATTGCTTCCAAATTGAATTTTTATTTTTTTTAGTTTTCGATATACATTTTTCCGTTACATCACGTTGAATATAAAAGTTTCAAAACGGTCACTTTCGTTTAAATTTTTGATAATATTGCCGTGGAGATGTGCAGATAAAAACTTTTTCAATTGACTTTTATTTGTAGTTAATCCCCTAGTAAATTCAAAGTTTTTGTTAGTTTCAAATGGGATATTTAATAAAGGAGTGAAATTTTCAATATTTATTTGTTGATTTTAAACAATGTTGGAAAAAAATTTATTTTAATTAATTTTTACAATGTGAAATGAAAACTTAATTTGAATAATATATTCACTGCATTTTGAAGATTTTTTTAAGACATATTTTTATACACAAACGTCATTTTTACAACGAAGTCCATCAATACAAGCAAATCGTGGATCTCCGCAATTTTCACCTTGTTCTAAAAAATAAGAAAAATGACAATTACACAGTTAAATATATGTTTAGCGAATAACAAATATTTACATCATTAACAGCTTAACTGAAAACTGGTCAGATGTTTAAGTGCTATTCAATTAAATATAATTAATTAATGTTTTGATGTCGTAGCATCAAAATCGCGTGTTGCCTTTCTAGAAAATAATTTATTTATTTTAAACAATTGACTTGTTTATATATTGTGTATGGAATATTATGATAGTCGTTCTCATTAAAACTTTATCCTTGTTAAGCATACGGTGCCGTCGTAAATTATTCAGGTCAAAGTTTTCTGTATGGTACTTTATGTATAGCTTCGGGAAATAGGCACCTGCCACTACAATTATTTAAACAATAGGATTTTAATCTAATCTTATTGTTTAAATAATTTTAGTGTCAGGATCGGCACTATAATTATTTTTTTTGACATTCATATAATACATAATTATTCATTTTCAAATGAAGCGACAAAAATTTCTTGGAACAGTAATGCCTAACCCAACAAACAGTGGCATTTAGCACTGCTTCGCCACAATTGAAAAATATTTATGAATTATAGTAGGTAAAATGTTTGAAGATAGGTACAAAACACACAAGGTATTTAAAAATACACAAGGTATTTAAAAATAATATTGCATTTTATTTAGCAACCACCACATTTTTTCGATTACTTTCGCAAGGTATACACGTGGAAATCCCCTCAAGACAGTCCCGGGAGAATTAATAGGAATCAAATAGACTACATTTTAGTAAATAAGAGATTCCGAAACAGCTTTACATGTGTCAAGACTTATCCTGGAGCAGACTTGGCGACAAACCACGTTTCGCTGGTGAAAAAGGGGAAAGCACAATCATACGACCTACGTTTCGTTGTACTTTAGTTTGAGTAGTTCTGCTTATGTATTCTCGTTCTAGCTACTTTATTATCCTTTATCTATGCTATTGCAAAATAAATTTCCCGCTGCAATATTCTTGGCCCATCATTTTTTGTGTATAAGCGACAAAGTATAAACTTCATAAAATAATGTATAAGATATTTTTTAACATCTTATAAAGTCGTCTATGTCTATACATGACGCTATTCATTGGTGAATATTAAATTATCTTTAAACCGGGTAGGTGTACAATACACCAGAACTTCGTTCTAGGTATGTCAAAGATTCGAAAAAACCAACAAATTCAACATTGATAATTTCTTTCGAACATCCAAATATCAGAGCTAGACATCTAATTAATCTAATCTAACTACTACTAAGCAAAACGTTGAGATTGTAAGCAAATGTATGCATCTAGGTTTCTTTTTGACCAATATGAGTTCCACAACGAAAGAAATAAATCGAAAGAAATAAATCGAAAGATATGACTACAGAATATATAGTGATGATGTTAAGAATATTTTGATAAAAAATAATAATAAAATAGGTGTATAGCAGAAATGTTATATAATTTGCATTAAATAATACAGAATAGGTTAGATTAGGTGACAGTCAATGGGCTAAAGCGAATAAAAACTCCCCTTTCAGATAAACTTTGAGAGGATAGTTTTTATTCTAATACAAAAATCAATATCTACGAGAAAATAAAATACAGGTCCAACACTTAATTGGAAAAATAGAGCAGAAAATGCGAAAAATATTTGAGCGGCAAATTGTCAACAATTAGACAACGACTATCAAATCAGACTAGAAAAGGTCGAGGCTCAACTATGGCTTTGTTACCACTAATGATAATGATGATGATTATAACGATGGTAAGCAAAATAAAAACCAAAATCTTAATGAGATGTCATATAAAATATAGCATTAAAAACAACAAAACTTACTTTTGGGCGTATAACAACTTTCGCAACAATCACAAGGATCCCTCTTTTTCAGAACAGAATTGGGTGCACAACCAGGTATTGCACACAATAATGGATCGCAAGGAGGATTTTCTGGAGGACAATCATCTTCACCAGCAATAACGGCACATACGCAAGCTGTTAAAAGAAATATTGCAAGAAATAGTTTCATTGTTAATATATTTATAAAACGATGATTTAAATAACACTGATGGTTTATACGTCTGGAAACTAATTAAATACGTTTCTAAGAGCATACGAGGAGATATATTTAAAATAAATTGGTCCATTTAGATAAACAAACTAAGATAAAAGCATAAGTTTTGGAATTAAGATAACCCCTGAACAAAATACGTGATAGCTAAGGTATAAACTTTATTTAATTATGTAATATAACCCAAAAAAATTTTTTGGTTTTCAAATTATTTCACTTGTAGTCTTTAGGTATGGCATTTGGATTATATATTTTCAAGCATATATTATTGTTAGAACGACTAGTAGTTTGAATTAGAAAGAAGTAATGGAGGACCTTTGGAGCCTCTTACATTTGTTTAAGAGGAAAAATATCAAATGCATTATTAAATACATATTTTTTAAGAGAGTTGCCGCTACTTTAAAAATATCACAGCGGACAATATACTCGATAATAAAAAGAAAAGAAAACAATCCCGTCCTTCCAAAACCACGCAAAAACAGAAGTCGTCTTAAAAGTAAGACGACTGATATGCCCGAGTCATTAAAAATAGCACACGTATGATATGTACCAACAGAGTAAGTATTGATTTCTTCAGTGTGAATTTTATGACAAACAAGAACCTGGGTAGGTACTTCAATTTTCATGAAATTTTCTATCTACTCATTTTTGGCTATAAAAGACGATAATGAATTCCTTTTTTTCAGAGAAGCAGGTTACTCTGTTGAGTTTGACTTGTCAATTAAGGGATAAAGACGTACTGGATATTGGAAAATCATCGCTTAGTACATTGTTAAAAGACGTCTGATTTAAATTCAAAAGGATGACAATCGACGAGCATTCATTGAGCAAACTGGTATTGCTGCTCTAGAGGCAGATTCATTCATAAATATATGGACAATCTTGAAAGTGTATTTACAAGAGAAGTTGTTTTTTTTAGATGAAACTTATTTTTGTTAAAAAGGAAATAAAACAATTTCTTGGCAAGACCATGGTGCCAAAAGTGTCAAAAAACCAAAAAGTTATGATGGTAACCGTTTTGTAATTGTTCACGCTGGTTCACACACAGGATTTGCTTCTGGAGCAAATTTATTGTCTTGTTCAAAATCTAACGTAGCTGATTGTCATGGAGAAATAACAAAAAAATTACCAAGTGAATAAGAACACAATTATTACCCAATTTAGAAGAGCCCCAATTGGTTTTAATGGATAATGCTTCTACCACAGTGTCCTTTTAAGTAAACAACCTTCAACTACTTCAAGGAGAGATGAAATTATTAGTTGGTAAATGGAAAAACGATTCATTTTCGTATCTATGAATATGAACATTATTTTCTGCAAAGTTTGTGTGTTCTTTGTATTTTTTCTTAAGTTAGTTCTAAATAATGAGTAAAGTTTACAGTACATATATAACATCTTTTATATACTACATATTGAATTGTAAGTTATAAACTATTAGATCTGTATTTTTTATAAACTCTATGTATTTTAGAGAACTGATGAACCTTTAGAAATATAAAGCGAAACGTCTTCGATAAACTTATGGAGTAGTTGACTTCTTTTTATTTTTCCAACCTGCGTGGCAAAATAAAAAAGTCAAAGTGTCTTTCCACAGCTACGTGGTTTCGTAGCAGTCACCCATCCAAATTTTAGTCGCGTGCGACGCTTCTGCTATGTGACAGTAGAATAAAATTGATACAAAATTAATTATTTTGGCAGATTGTACAATATTATTAAGATTACTGTTTATTCTTCTTTTTGTCATATTTTTATTAATCCTATTCCCGACGAATACTAATCCAAATACACAAAAATTATAATAAATAATATAGTTACTAAATTTAATTTAATAAAATACATCCACCGGGATAATAGCCATTTCGTAAGTATTACACTGACAGTAGTAGGTATTAATAATAATTACACAGGCCTACATTTTTATTTTCATGAAAAAGTGTTTTAAGTTGAATAGGTGTCCTATAGTAAATGGGATGTGCTGATCACGAATCTGTACTTAGTTTTTTCCAGCACGTCAGGTTTTCAAAAAAAGTGTGTTTGAAATTTTTCATAGAAACTGTCAAAAGTACTGAAAAAATATTTACTGAAACCTTATTTAATATAAAATTACACTGCTGGAAAATATCGAACTTAGTAGTGAAGTTCGTTTCGGTTCGTAAATGCCCATTTGTCCGCTTCTCGTCGATCGATGATGATAGGGTTAATAAATGTTCAAGTTGTGGAGTAAAGTGATGATTTATTGACAGCAACTCGTAATTACACAATATGGTGTTCGTTCGGTAACTACTCAATATTGACTGTGTTCATTTGAACTCAAATCCCCCAATTTATAATCTCACACATAATAGATACATAAGCACCTTAGGTCATTGCTTCGTTCATTCACACCACCTAGCTTTTGCTTATAATACAATTTAATCTACGCCTTAATTGCGACACTTAGGAAGTTCAATTAGAAAATATTATTATTCGGCAATTTATTTAGTTGTAGGTAAATGAACTAATTATTAAATTATCATACGATATGGTTTTGCAATATATATAATGCAAACTTATACACGGTGAAACTATAAAAGATTAAGAAGTTAAGAATAATGTGAGATTACAAATTAAGGGGTTAATTTGTGATTGAACACTGCAAAATTGAGTTGTTTAAAAAAAATTTAGTGTAACCTACGTTAGACAATATTTGTTTTTTTTTTAATAAAACTGTTTTCTTTTTCCATGAAAACTCCATTTTGGGGTCCTTTTTTATTGGATTCTTGTGATCGATTCTCTCTTCAAGGTCCAGCAGTAATCAGCCATCATTCTTATATCCCATCTTTCTTGGTAACGTCTCTTCATCTCCTTTATATCTTGACAGAACCTTTATTCCAGCTCCTCGCTGACAGCTCCAAGATTTTCGTTGCACATTTTTCGGGAAAATAGTCAACGTCGGAATTCAAAAAATGAAGTTTGACGCTCATATCGCATCCAAGTTATTTATAATTTTCGACCATGTTAGCTACAATTTTTTTATTGTTTGGAGACTTGTTGTTTCCAAGGAAACCGTCTATGAGTTCTAAGAAAGAACTTTATACTTCAGCTGCATCTTGGGTCATTGTATTCTGGAACAATCTGTCCGATTTTAAGGTTCGAATTTAAGGGCATACAAAAATTCCTTCTTTAAGTTTAGGTTCAGAAAGTGCAGGAAATTTGTATATGCATAGATATTTAAAGCAGTCACATTGTTTATCTAAAGCTTTGACAAACTGCTTTATCAATCGTACCTCTATGTGAAGAGGAGGCAACAATTTTGGGTCAACTAGTGTATCACGTTGCACATTGTTTGGTCTTTGTACTAGTCTTTCTCTGAGTGGCCACTCTTTCTTAACGTATTGTAAATTTCGTGCTCGAGTATCCCACTTGCATAAAAAACATTAACACTTTATGAATCTAGACTGCTGAACCAAAAGCATGGATATTATTTTAAGATCTTCACAGAGTTGCCAACAATATTCGCTATACTTTATTTTATTTAGCAACAGCTCAAGATTCTCATGTTTCTTTCAGATGTACGGAGTAAGCAACAGTTATTGAGGCATAACTATTACCATTATGTAGCAAGACACTCTTTAGACTACTCTTAGAAGAATTATTAAATAACCACCATAATTTGGAATAGTAATTGTTAGCTCCTAGTTTCATGACGACTTCAGAAATATTATGACAATACAGCAGTGAGCCCTCTTGAGGAAAATATTCCGCGAACTCTTTTTTACGATGCCTATACCACGAAAATGTGGTACCTGGAGCCAATAGATTTTTATCTTTCAGTCGTGTTCCCAAGATTTATGCAGCATCCTTGAATAGGCCCAAGTATCTCACTAAGTGATGTATTTCAGCCTGAAAAAACTTTTGAGGTTGGTCTATCTCAGGATTGAATTTATTTTCATTAGTTTTTTTTTGTCTGAATTTTCATCTGATGATTGCTGTTGGATTGTGTGAAGAAAAGCTGGAGAAATAGGAATTTCTGGTTCATGAGATCTAGGTCGTTTAGCAGAAGGTAAAACAGGATATTAAATTTTGTGTTATTTTTTTGAATTAAAACCCTTGATATTGCAGGAGCAAAAGTAGTATTACACAGTTTAAACATTACTTCAATTCCTATGTCTCCCATTTCTTCCTATGTCTCCCATTTCTCATTGAGAATTTCAAGTTTTTAACTTTTTTATTGCGGTTTCTGTTTCCGAACTGTAGTTCCTTTCTGTAGTTCCTTTTAGTTATTTATTTCTTCTGGATTCACGTCTTCATGGTCACTGTGAAACAACATTTCACAATATCGTTTCCATGTCGCTACTATGCCCTATAAATTGGTGATGATCGTTCCCAAGTTATCTTTAATTATCTGCGTTTATGGTTTGAACTCTTTAGTTAAGTATTTTACTTTGGCAAACAGTTCTCTAGATTCTTGACGGTCGATGTGTTCTTGTAGTTGTTTGCATATTTCTTTAATATGGCTATTTTTGTCTCTTTTACTTGATGATTTTACGCGTCTGCTTAGATTTGCTATCTTGTTTTAAGTTTTTGTTGGATTTGAAGCATTGTTTCTAATTTTTCTTCGTTCTTCTACTAGGTTAAGTGTCTTATCAGTCATCCAGTGTTTTTCTTTCCTTGAAGTTCCTTGGGGTCCAGTGTGTTACTATGTCTTAGTGTTTCTTTGTATTTTCCAGGCTCTAGGTTTATATTTTTTTGTTTCGGTTTCTTTTGCAAAATTTGATACGGAATTCGGGTTTATGGCCTGTTGACAATCAGCCGCTGGTTTTGTCTTTACGTTGACTACTCAACTTTTTCATCGTTAGCTGACAAGACTATGATCTATTTGATTTTAATATCTTCTCCCCGGTGAAGTCCAAGTTTGATGCTTAAACATGGTGTCCATGATACTAGTTCAGTGTCGATGACAAATTATAATAGCTTTTTTCCTCTCTTATTTCGTTTACCTATTCCAAACTCACCA